TTTTTTTTTTTTTTTGTATATAAATCATTGTGTGTAATAACTATTTGCAATAACTGTTATTGTAAAGTGTATTGTTGTTTGTATATTAAAACATTTATATTAAAAAATAAAACTATATCAATCTTGTTGGCAAATATCATAAATTGGAGATATAAAGGCACATATTTAACTACTAAATTTAAATTCAGTTAACTCAGTTTCAGACCTTTCGAAATTGCAATATGCAACATGAACCAAAAAGTTTTTGAAGTTATAAACAAGCATCAATTCATTACTTTTTGCCCGGACACTTACTTACAAGTAACTTCAAGTTACTTAGTTGTCAAGGTTAGCAGCTATAAATCTGTTGAAAAAGAAAATTGCATAGTAATGATTATTATTATTTTATTAACTTGCTTAATCAACATATATTTCGATACTAATACCAATACATTTCTACAATATTTATAAAACTGATAATACACTGGATTTATTAATATAAAGAAAAATATTTTAGGAGAGTACGTTTTTCTTTATTTACAGAGTACACACTTCAACATCCGGTAAACAAGGAAACATCAGACCAATACTTTGCCAAGGTTTCAAGTACTGTCATCATACGACTTCCTTACCACGAAGTTGACTTTGTGCGAGTTTTATACATCTACAAGAACACCTTAAGTACATTTATGTCAAAGAAATTATCTGGCTTTCATATTTTATGGACCAAGTTAGTTGTTCCTGAAGCTAGATTTACTACCAAGTGAAAAGCGAATATATTTACTTAACAGCTTACATGTATCTATTTCCTTATTAACTCAGCAATATCAGAATCTAAGCTTATTGTTTGATAACGAGGGCCATATCGACGAAAAGGTCGGCCATCTTTACCGATCAGGAATTTTTCAAAGTTCCAGCTGATGTCACCACGAGTCACAGGAGACCAGATGATGCATTGTGGGTTCTTCACAAATGAAACGGGGTCGTCGTGGGGAGTGGGAAGATGATGTCGCAAGTATTGAAATACTGGGTGGCTTTTATCTCCGTTGACATCAACTTTCGCAAAGATCGTGGCTTTAGTCTCAAAGTTATTTCCTGGTCGGACGTATCGAAGACTGTTTATAATTTCCCCATTGCAACCATTTTCCTGGAACAGTTATGTTTTCTTTTTAATTTGTAAAATACTATAAAAAATGCTAGTTTCTTAATTTATTATATTCAGCCATTTTAATGCTATATTAGATTTTGTTCTTATACATTTACGAAAAAAAAACGTGCTCTCAGATGAGGTAAACATTTCTTAGGGGAGGAGGATGGGGAAAGGAATTAAAGAAAATAAACTGGGAACTGAAATATAAACAGATAGTAATTTATATCCTGTTTATCAAAATGTAATTATTTACCATTTTAGCTCGTTCCCTGGAATGATTTAAATTTTAATACTGCTACTTATAATAGTTCAACCACCCATAGTATAGAACTAATTAATATATAACATCACATCTATAACCAAAACTTTAGTAATGAAATATTTACTACGGTGAATAAATTCTCATGAGCAAGGCTTAAAAATTAAAGAGAACTCAACTTTAATTTTAAGCCTAAAACTCTGTACACACAAAACAAATTTTCTTTATCATATTTTGTTTTAGCGCAAAACTTACGCAAATAAGTTACCTGCGCTCTGTTTCCCATGGGGAATCGGACTCCAGATTTTAGTGTTATAAAGTTTCGTATTTCAGAATATTTCTCTCAATTCTAATATTAAAAAAAAATAAATTACTAATTTGGAAAAAGCCCCTGGTGGGCGCGAACTATGCAACAGCTGTCCCACCTATTGCTACGCCACTGTATCTCGGCGATACACAACTAGCAATACACAATTTACAAATACAAGTTATAAAAAGAGACTGATTAACTCCCTGTACTTCTTTTGAGTGTGATTTTTCACACTCAAAAGACAGTTGAGATAAATAAGAACTGTACTCTGTAGCTAGCCTTAGACTAGTAATCGAAATGTTCGATAAAGCTTTATTAAATTTAAAGGGGCATAAATTGATAGAACAAGAGAAAAAAATACTGTAATATTTTTCTCTTACAAATACGTAGTTGTTTCCAGAAAAACAAATAAACTGGACGTCACACTTATGATATTACAAGCGCTTTTTACATATACTAGTTTTATATGGGAAACATATGCTTCAGTGGTATAGTGTCTTTACAAGTTATAGAGCTTTCAGTTTATTACACTCAATATTCAGTCATTTAATCATTCATGTGCATTGCTTACACGATTTTACTTTAAATAAAACTTAGTTCTAAAGAAGTAGTCATCACTTAAAGTTAAAAACGGAAATTTTGCTTTAGAAAAGAAATTAAAAATCTTTAACAATTTTCATTTATGTATGTATGGTATATCCACTAGCATAAAAAATATCTGGAATGCAGTAATACTATAGCAAGTTAACGAATTTTTATGGTTTTGAACAAGATCAGGATTTTATAAGAATAAGATATACTATAGATGTAAACGGTAAAGTGCAAGTTGTAATAGAATAATAAACTCACCTGGTGACCGAACTGATTACACGGGAACCCCAAAATTACAAGATCGTCGCCATATCTGGAGAGGAGCTCGTTCATTTGGGTATAGTCCCGTACTGTTGTTCCTCACAACGAAGCAACATTCTCGATCAGTACAACCTTGCCTTCGTATTTGGAAAAGTTAATTATTTCCCCTGTCAAAGATTTAGCAGCTAAATCGTAAAATGACTTCGCAATACTCATTATAAGATATACACGAAAAGCTGTACGTAACAAACGATGTCCTCTATGAGAAATCTAACTATGAGTTAAGAGCATGTACTTTATTTTATAAAGAAGCATGCGCAGTTTCTCCACAAGCGCATTTTACGAAAGTGGTTGCGAAATAATCATATAGGTGTGTCTGCTTCTTATTGAGGGACGGAAAGTATAGACCAAAACTGTAAAAAAAAGATTTCTCCCAACTACTTAAATTATTTGTATTTAAACAGTAAGAACTTATATATCAGACATACAAACTATCTATAAATTACATTATCACAATGCCTTGAGTTATAACACCATATTAATGTGATGGATGTACAAGAATATAGCCCTTTATTAGGGGGATATTATAGAAAACCTTTACATAATGATGAATTGTGAACATTGAGAACTGAACTGGGGACATAACTTTTTGAATATAATCATAAAATAAAGATAAGAATCAAATAAAACCACGAAGAAGCAAAGTTCTAGCTATCGTCAATGATGAACGTTTTTAGTTTACTTAACACTCTAATAAAATATCTAAAATTTCAAGATTGTGGCGTTGGATCTTAGGTTCATTCAGATAAGACTACCAAGAAGGTGAAGCTATTGGTCCTAAATTAATTTAATAATCTGAGGTTTGACAAGAAGAATGTGAACTTATTATTAATATTCATTAACATCTGATTTCAAACAAAGTTTCGAGTTGTATTTACTATTTTATATTTTAAACTCGGATATACGAAAAAGTTGCGATAAAGAAAAACGTCTGACCATTCAGCGATATTTTCACAATTAGCAATGTATGCCATCCAGCATAGTGACATGATTTGTTATCTTAGCCCAAGAGGCGGTTTTTGTACGTTTTGCAGTGTCTTAACTTTTTAAGCGTATTATGTTTATACTTTTAAGATCCTAAATCTTAAATACTGTTCCACTGACTTGTTTTACATACGTAAGTTTGCGCCGTGTTTTAAACCTTGGTAATCTTATCTTTTACGATCAGTTTTTGTGTGGTTTATGATGATCATTGGTCTGTTTGCACATTATGATGTATAAAATTACTTTTAACTCGCCCGCACTCTCCTTCCACGATCAATACATTTGGCGCAGACTGCTTCTGCTAGTGTGTGTATATGTGTGTATGTTGGAAGGGGGGGGGGAGCAACTATCGTTAAAAGATACACAAACTGAAACAAAGTCGTATCCTAGCAACGGGTCTTCTCAACAAATAGAACGTTATTTAGCGATTTTAGATTCTTTCATCGCGTGAGCTTTGAATTAGTTAAAGTTATATATTAATATCTATCTATGTTTTGATATAAGCCGATAAACAGACGAATTAAACAAATACTCAACAATCCGCTACAGTGAAAACACATGTAACGGTCATACCAAAAACTGCAGTTATCAGGATCATAGCATTGTATTTTGTTTTATTTTTTAATATGGGAAAACTGTTCCCTGTTAAAGGCCACCCAGTGGCACAGCGGTATGTCTGCGGACTTACAACGCTAGAAACCGGGTTTCGATACCTGTGGTGGATATAGCACAGATAGCCCTTTGTGTAGCTTTATGCTTAACTACAAACAAAAAAAGCGGGAGGGGGGACCTATTGATTAGTATGTTCGAACTGTAAATCCGAATATTTATGTGTTCGCAAAAGGTAAGTTAGGGATCTAGGATTTATATGATAAATCTAAGTTTCGAATTTAAAAATTGCCTTTTATTTATTTATTTGAACTAAGTAATAGCTGACCACATGTAGCTATATCTGACAAACATAATGTGTAGATAAAAGTCAATTAAACTTTTTGGCCGTTCACAATCTGGTATATTAGCCGCTTGAGCTAGAATTTACATGGTATTTAAACGATGGTGATTCTCAAATGTCTGAATAAGGTGAATCTGATGTGTACACCTTACCCTCAATTTATCTACAGTTCAATTTACAATCCTAGAAAGCCTGTCTTCCCACACCAGAAACAAACCCATTATGTTTTAGAAAAGACAGCATCTCCCAAGTCGTTATTAAGCATGCACCTATTACAATGAAAAACATTACAAGCTATCTGTTAACCTCTACTGTATTACCTAATGACGAGACTAAATCAAGCTAAAGTTGACTACGTCTTCTTCAAAGGAACCTGCATTAAACGAAGTAAAAACTTTCAGAAGGAAAATATAATGTGATCTTCTTCAAAGATATTGTGATGATTATTAATTCCATCCCGTCTAGACTTTTCTGGTTTTATTTATTTAAATTTAGCAGTAATCTTTAAGCAGCATAATCTCTAAGATTTTTCCTGTTTCATTTTACATGTTCTAAAGTTTTCGTTAAAGCGAAACTTTAAAAAAATGTATAGGTCTCGAATAAATTTTAAAATGACTGATTTTTACTCGCATAGCTCTTCAACAAATCTTACAGTGGCTGATTATTAGCGCATGGCTTTTATAGTGGTTGATTATTAGTAAATTACTCGCACAACTTCTGAATAAATTTAAAAGTGACTAAGTATTGTTACGTCTCCGTTCGTTAGTTAATTTTCCGTAAATTTGTTCCGTCGAATCTTTAGCGACCCAAGTCCTTTCTTAAATAAAACTGGTT